ATTTCATCAACCACTCATTCGACCATTCCATTAATAAGTCAATATCTTGTTGAAGTTCAATAACATAATTATCGTTTTTTATTGCTCTAAGGATTTTCATGTCGTCAGCAAATAGTTTACAGCTTGATTTTATTTTGTTGGAGATATCATTAATATACACTACAAATAATAGTGGTCCTAGCACTGATCCTTGTGGTACTCCACTAACGACCTCTTCCCATTCTGATTTATTATTTCCTATCACTACACTTTGAAGTCTGTACTTTAAAAATCCCTGGCACCAGTCAAATAGTTTTGATTTAAAACCAAGAGCATTCAATTTTAACAATAATCTTTCGTGATCAACTGAATCAAACGCTTTGGCTAAGTCCAGAAACAAAACTATTACATCCAAACCATTATCAATTGAACTTGTGATAAAATCTAGAGATTCCATTAAGTTGGTCACACAACTTATATTATTTACAAATCTATGTTGGTTTTTATTAATTAATTTATTTTCTACTAAATTTTTCATCATTTTATCTTTAATTATTTTTTCCATGACTTTACAAATACAGATGTTAAAGATACAGGTCTATAGTTGCATGGGTTCAACTTGTCACCATTTTTAAACAGGGGGACGATATTTGCACACAACCATAATTTCGGAAGTAATACATGAATGAATTTTACTGGAAGGTACAAGAGACACAAGCTCTTTATAGAAGCGTTCATTATAGTTTTTATAGAGAAAGAGAAAGAGAAGCAACATTACAAAGACGTTACAATGGCTGAAGATAGGCTGCAAGAGAAGGTCCAACTATGTTTACAATGCGATTTTGCTCCTTGTCTAAAAGAGAAAGGGCATCATTCGAAAATCCGCCTCAGATGGGGCAACAGTAATCCATACAAGGACAGAGTTAAGATTTATAAAAATAGAATAGAATCAGGATTAAAAAAGTGGAAAGCACGATAAAGAGATGCAACCTTAGCAGATGCTAATTTTGGAATAGATTCAATATATAGTTTTCAACAATGATCGGAAGTAAATCCTAGAAGACAAAGGTTAGAGGACTCATCGAATACATTACCGTTCATCAATATAGGAAGATAGGAAGATATAAATTGTTATGATAACAATTAGTTGAAAAAAAATTGAGTTTTATCTGAGTTAAAGTTCACCAGCCACTAAGAGAATTATTTTTTCTCTTGTCGATAGTTAAACAATCAAAGGAATGTCCGAATTAGTTATTAGTGAAAAATCATTTTGACTTTTGTTAAACTAATAATAAAAAAAATATTTAAAAAATAAAGTTTTATATAACAAAATGAAATAAGGTAAAAAAATATATATATTTAAAAAATAAAGTTTTATATAACAAAATAAAATAAGGTAAAAAAATATATATATTTAAAAAATAAAGTTTTATAATAACGATATCAAACAAGGCGTTTATAATAACTCGAATTAACTTAAAAGTTTTAAGTTTTCTATTAAATAATACAAGTCAAAAATTAGCTTGACCTCCACGAACATATTTGAATTGTTTTTCAAATAATCTTTATTTTACGCCATATTGTAAAAACGCAATACTACAATAGTATTACGTATTCTGGCTTTTATTAAATTTTCCAACCGTTTCAAATAGTTAACAATTCATAATTTGTTTAATTATTGCTTTAGTTTAGTTTGATTTGACGTTTAAAGAAGTTAAAGACATCCCCTAGACATGCTCCTGATTGAAGTTAAAGACATTCCCTAGACATGCCCCTGATTTAAGTTAAAGACATCACCTAGACATGCTCCTGATTGAAGTTAAAGACATCCCCTAGACATACCCCTGATTGAAGTTAAAGACATCCCCTAGACATACCCCTGATTGAAGTTAAAGACATCCCCTAGACATGCCCCTGATTGAAGTTAAAGGCATCCCCTAGACATGCCCCTGATTGAAGTTAAAGACATCCCCTATACATGCCCCTGATTGAAGTCACATTACGTGCTTGTTTGTCTATGTTTTATTGAATTCTTTTGTTTCTGTGCATCATGTTATTTTTTTCAACATGTCTCATCAATTCTATAAAGATTTAATTTTTTCGGATAACAGAAAACAAATAAATTTTTAGAACAAAAATAGTATCATTTTACACTATTTAAAAGGTATCATAATAGTTCACCCGTTGTGTTAACTACAACTGAAATTATTGAGATTTCTAGAGTCTTAAGTAGGCATATAGATGCCACAGTAACGCAAAAAATAGAAACTTATGCTGATATTGTTATTAAGGCTAGCAAAGTATATATAGATATAAAAAAATCTAGCTTCAAAACTCTGTATAAGATTAATTACCATCATTGAAGATTTGGCATTCTTTCATGCATTAAATGATTATTTTAACACCAGTACCCCAACAAATTTCAACATCAGTACCCCAACAAATTTTAACATCAGTTCCCCAACAAATTTGGATAAAGCAGGTGAAGTATAAGGTTTTAAAAAAGCTGAAAAAAAGAAATATTTAAAAGTTTTGAAACAAATACAAAACTGGACATAGAAAACTTCAAAGCTACAGATATTATATCAGAATTAATTAATTTTGTAGATCAAGTCTTTTTGATAATAAATGATGAAATCATTAAAATGATTGTAAGTGAAAAAGTACCCGAGTTTGAAACTGTTCAAATAATTCTAAACATACTATATGCATATAAAAAACAACTCACTATAGTGTCAGAAGGTAAACTAAAAGTAAATAAAAAGCGTAAATACTTTAACAACAAAACACAAAAATAAGTTAGGCAACCAAAAAAATAAGTTAAGCAACCAGGATTGTTTAACTAATGGTCCACAAATGTCTGACAATTAACCCAGGGATTAAGCTTAGTTAAAAAAAGTTTTCTTGAAAAGAATTTTTGTAAGAGTTAAAAGACTTTAAGTTTATGACGAAAATTTGTTCATTTATTTGAAATTATTTTATACTTACTTGACTCATTAATTTGAAACGTCAAGCTTTTATTTTGCCGGGCTGCAAAATAAAAATTACAATCATTACATCCCAAAGTAGTGGTTTTTCAAAAAATCTTTCAAAAAGTTAATTTTAAAAAAGCCTTTATAATGTATTTCATTGACGTTAAAGTAGATTTACTAAGCTTAATTTAAAGCAGGATCCTGCAATAAAACAGCATCAAACTTTACAAGGATGGATAGCCAAAACGTGCCTATTCGTAGTTGCTATATAATCGTAACTAAATTGAAACTGAAAAATAGATTACTGAGAAACATTTAAGAAATATCCAGCGACACAAACAAGTTGATAGTTGTAATGAAAGTTTGACACGTCGTAACGTTTGAATTACCTTGTTCTGTCTCTACTTTTTGAAAAATTCGACTTTCATGTTGTACATGACAATAATGTTCTTCTACTTTAAGTTAAACGAGGAATAGATGCAGAAAATCGTAGCTACTAAAAATCTTTTTAAATTTTTATTGGCTGTCCTCGAAAAAAAATTTGTAGTATTTTACCTTAAATTATTGAAAGCAGTGAACAAGATAATTCTAAAGATCATTTGTGTTTACTATATCTTCTTTTAAAGCTTAGAATTAAAAATTTTCAAGGCTATAAAGTTTACATAAGCCATGGGGACTACTTTTGTATTGCAGCACTCTTTTAACATGGAAACCAAGAAGCTTTTTTTCCTTTATTTGTGTAGATTTTGACACAATAGAGAATTACTCTCAATTAAAAACCTACCATTTTTAAAATTACAACTTACTTACAAGAGTTCCTAGTAATCTTTAAAAAACCAAAAAAAATTGCAATTGCAAATAAGAAAAGGCTATAGACTATGTATTTTTTGTTACCAAAAAAAACCACTAATCTCTTGTAAAAAAATTATCTGTGCTAAGTAATACTTTTTATATGATTTGTGGCTATGAAAATAGCCGTTTAAAAAATAACTGAGACAAAAGACAATCACATACCATTACTATTTTGTCACAATTAGAAAGAGTAAGTGACCTAGCTTCGTCAGAAATGTTTTTAGTTCTTCGCAGCAACTAAGTATCTTGAAGAATTGCATAGCAATTTTTTAACAGTCCAATAACTCTTTCAATATGTATTCTAACCGATGATATATTACAAGATTTTTTTCACTTCTGAAGCAATTAGTTGAGCTTTACCTTTCGTAAAAGCTGGGTTTATTAATAAAGAGCAGCCTTCTGCAGCAAAATCATCTTGCAATGTAAAACCTCTATTTGCTAAAATTTAATTACCTCGTACATGGTATTTGCTAGAAAATTGCAATTGAAAATATGGAGGAATTGTATTATTAATATGATCCCTATCTTGCATTTTCATTAAATACTTTAATTTAACATTAATATCAATTATCCAATGTTTTTTTAAAACCAAACATAAACGATAACATATCAAAAATATTGCTGTGTCTTGACTTTACTAAGCACTATTTAATCTGCTGAACCTTTTATGCAGTTCCTTTGCACAAGAAACACTTTTCTAATACTGGTAGACTAAAACCTGTAACCATAGTGCAGGATATATCAGGTTGCGATCGAATTATATTTACTTCTTACAAATATTTTATATAAGACAAAGATATAATTGAAGCTAAGATAAATACTTTTTCCGTAACTGTCATTGGAATCTTCAGCACTTATAGAAATAGGAAATTCTGGAAAACATTGTATTTATAAAGTATTACCAAAAAAAGCAAAAAAGTATTTATTGGTCATTTGAGAAACACCTCATATTTAAAAAAATTTCTAAAATCAAAAAAAACCCGGCTGTTCCATCATATATTTTTTGAATAATATATTTTTTGAATATTTTTATACGTTTCTACAGGGGTGACTAAGTGGAGGTGACTTGTTTTATGCATATTGGATGTGTCTAGTCTTCACAAATAATTTAATGTCTAACTTAGTTTCGCCAAAAATGGACATGAGGTGTTTCTCAAAAGACTGATTCATATATATTAAAAAAAGAGTTATTAATACCTAGTCTCAAAATATTAATTGAGCATTGTTCTAAATTACCTTCATTAGGTATAGAAAACCAAAATTCTAAAAGAAAAAATCAAACTTTTTAAAATGTGTAAGAAAGTTTTAGATTTTAATATAATAATGAATCCGTGTTTAAAACCTTTACTAAAACATTGTTCTTAAAGATTTTTTTTGCATTTAGGAATACTAAGCTCTGGAAAATATAACAGAAAAAGTGTTGATTAATGAGTTTTACAATTGTGCAAAATAAAAAACAAAAAAAATTATTTAATAAAAAAAAGTTTTTAACGCAAAAACGATCTTAAAAGTCTTTAGAGCGTTGATTGAAAATTTTTTTATTCATTGTAAATTAAATTCTTTTTTATTAATTTACAATAAAAATTAAACAATCCGAAATACAAATATTAGCTAATTTTTAATTTAAAAGTAATTGTATGCTCTATTCATATCTAACCTAACTATTGCAAAAGCATTGTTTTATAATAACTCTATTAGATATAGAAATATTAAAATATGGGAAAGAAAAATCAAAATCTTAAGGAAAATAAAAGAAACATTTGAATATAATAATTATTACCTTCTCTAAAACATTTGCTAGATTATTGTTTTCAAAGATCTTCGTTACATGGAGAATTACTTAAACTTTGGCTGGAACATTGTTCTAATTGCTCCTTATTTGATCCAGTAGATTATTGTTTTCAATGATCTTCGTTACATGGAGAATTACTTAAACTTTGGCTGGAACATTGTTCTAATTGCTCCTTATTTGATCCAGAAGGATAAAACTCTGAAATATGTTTTAGAAAAATCATTGTTTTTCTTTTTTAACAAAAGACATAAAGTTAAAAAATCAAAACTTTGTTTCTTTAAAATTAAAAACAATACCAAATTTTTCAAAACTCTTGAAAGAATAATGTACAAAAAACTCTTTGTTCAAAAAACTGTATGTGCAGAATCATTGATTTCTAAAAATCAAATGAAATTTTTTCAGAGTATTTTTTTCTACATTTACATTAAAGGCACAACACATTGTCATTCCTTTAAAATATCAATAAAATTTACAACATTATTAAATATTAATGACCTTTACTACATAAGGTCTTTTTTTCAATTACAAAATCGATTTCTTCTCTGTTAGGTTTATCAAAAAGTTTTAGTTTCATACACGCAGGATCAAATCTGTTTTAAAAAAACAGCATAAAAATTCATCAAAAACAAAACAAAAACATAGCATTTCAAAATACCAAATGAGAGTATTACCATTGAACTAAAAAAAATAAATTTTATTTTGTCTTCTTGTTTATCTATTGAATTTTTCTTTGATGGGAACTTAGTTTTTCAGTATCAAAGATTGAAGGATTTGATTCTGGATGTTTTTCAAAAAGTTCTCTTTTACCTAAACAATTATAAACATTGTAGTATAAAAATACTGATATTTGCATATGCATTTATCATATATAAATCAGGGGCGGGTGCAGGATTTTTGAAGTTTGGGACAACTAACTTCCAGACATGGAGCGAACTCGAAACTTATATATGTTTATAGTTATATAAAATAAGGATACTTTCCAAAATATTAAGATGATAGGAACCTAGGAACAAAAAAGCCCCAAAATTTTTGCTCCACCTGCCCCAAACGTGAGAGCAACAAGTTGATAAAATAATTTTTTTACTATTCTCAACTAAATCTATATTCATCGAGAAATTTTAAAATTCATACAATAATCTCTTAGCGTTCAAAAGTTATGGCCACATAAAGTTTAAGCCCCCCTCAATTTGAGGGGATTACAAATCTAATAAAACCATTATTTTTGAACGCTAAGAGATTGTTTTACGAAATAAAAAATTTCTGGATGAATTTAGATTTAGTTGAGAATAGTAACAAAATTATTTTATCAACTTATTGCTCTCACGTTTGGGGCAGGTATAACAAAAATTTTGGTGCTGTTTTGTTCCCAGGCTCCTATCAACTCAACTTTTTGCAAAGTATCCTTGTTTGATATAAATATAAACATATAAAAATTTCGAGTTCGCTCCATGTCTGGAAGTTAGTTATCTCAAACTTCAAAAAATCCTAGATCCTGCAAATATCAGCACTAAGCACATTTTATTAATGATGGGTAAAAGTAACCCACCAGTAATAAAATGTGCAAAACAAATATTAAAATTAGAAGACCTAGGTAGCCATTTCAGAGGATATTTTTTTTGTCAATATATTAATATGTTTGACATAGTTGTATAGAACTTAAAGAGACTTAAAAAATAAGGGGTCTTTTAACTTTAAAAGTTAATTGGATTCATTTTTTGAGATGGAAAAACTAGTAGATGTAAAATGAGGTTTTGATCTTGTGTTGCAAGCGCGCGCAAGCGAAATAGGGATTACTTTTATTATTCGCATTCACTCCCAAAAAGGATGGAAGCAACCACTATTAGGTTGGGAGTTACTAGAAAAAGAAAGAATAGAGTTAAAGTAGGTACGCGTGCAAAATTTTGAAACTCTATATATAATTAACTATTATATATCGTTGTAAAGAGCTTTAAATTAATATTATAATTGTGAAAATTTCATAAAAAAAGAATGATTCTACAAAAAGTTATGGCCAAGTAACAAAAATTCATTATAAGGATTGCTTAAGGAAACTGCAACCGACTTAAAAATTTTGCGTTCGGCTTACGGTAGTTTTGTAATAAAGTACGCGCATTTCTTCGTTTCCTATCGGAAGTAATAGAAAAAAACAAATAAGATTTTATATTTTATAAATAAAAAAATTATTTTTATTAACGAATTAAAAAATATTTAATACAATAAATAAACTTATATATAATTAAAATTATATATGGATTTATTTATCTTATCATATAAATTTTTTATATTCTCATTATATAATATATTATTTTACAAGTATAGGCTTATATATTAAAACGCGTATTCCATTTGGTGCGTTACTTTATACGTAGATACCCTTTCTAGAAAGTAAAAAGAAATTAATAACCTCTATAATTATACTTATTTTTCGCAAGCGATAAATATGATTTATGGAAAAAGTCGGAAAATATGATATGTGTTTAGCCAAGTAATTATTCGACTTAAACCATGATAAGTACTAAAAATTACTATCAAGTTTTTAATTACTTTGATAATTATTGGAAACAGATAGTATTTAGAGAAATATAGATATGTATTTGGAAAAAGCGTTTCAGAGCCACCCAATAAATAAAAGATTTATTTGTTTTAAAATATACTTCGCAATAAAAAAATTTAAACCATATTAATCATTTTCCCATATGCATAATGTTTTTAACAGAATTGTGGTTATGAAAATAGCCTAGTTTTGAAGCAAATAGAGCATTGACATCCAAAGATAGAAAGGTCGATCGGCAATGATATCTATATATAAAAAAACAGATTTTTAAATAAATATATAGATCACCATAGCATAACCATTTTTAATAAAAAACCCATATGATCTGGAAAATAAATTAATATCTAACTGTTATTACTGCATAATTTAATCTATAAGTATAAACTAACCTCTTTAATTTTGACTTGTTAAAGATCCATAGAATCATTAGTCTATTTTTCAGTTTCCATGCTTTGAGTTAAAACCTTGCAATGATAAATAAAATACATCAGATATTTAAAATGATTACTAAAAAACCAATTAAAAATTATGGGAATAGGAGGTTTTTGTCCTAGGTTAAAAATAAATCAAAATAACTTAACTTCTGATGCATAACACATTATACCATTAAAACAGAAACATTAATGGAAGCAAGTGAACCAATTGAAATTTATTTTCTGAAAAAGATGTATAAAAACAATAATCAAAAAAGAAAAAACTCGAGGGTATACTGATTAATTTAAATTACTTAACACTAACATCTTGGCATCCATGCAGGCAAAAGGTTATTTTTCTAAGTAGAAACAGTATGTCAGAAGTCATGTGATTAGCTCAAAGCCAATAGTAAATGAGCTTTGGTTCCCCATAGCACGTTGCAACCAAGTCAACCCTGGTTTTGGATGTCGGTAACTACTCGACTACCTAAAATAAGATCTGATACATTAAAACAATCAATGAAAGAATTATAAATCTTTTTATAATCTTATTAATAAAAAAAAAGAGGGTGAAGGGCCAAAATATATAGATCAGGTATTGCAAAAATATTGCTAACCAAGACACTTACCTATTATCTGTAAATGAAACCTATTAATGCAAGTATATAAACCATTTTTTGATTTAAAATAACACATACCTTATTACAATCAATTAAGACAATATTTTTAATGATATTACCATATTACCACTTATGATGTCTGCAGATAACTGGTATTTGCTCATTTCATACTCAACAGCATCATCATTCACATTCTCATTTGGTTTCCAATAAGAAACTATGTATATAGCACTATTTTTCTTTTTAATGCTAAGAAGTCTGCCATAATATACATCCTGGTTATTAGTGCGTTTGTTAAACCAAATTCAGTAAATATATCTTCAAATAGCAGCTCCAATAAGAATTTCTTTAATATTGGAAGCCTCATTATTTTCTAGGTCAGGGAACATTTCTTTTATCTGATGATGCATACAACTTTTTAAAACTTTTTTTATTTTCCGCTGTTCTTTGTCCTTCTTATTCTGAATTTTGTCTGCCACAAGCTTTATAAATTCTGACATCATTTCTTTATGACATGTGCATTTGCAAGGCAGATATTTCTGGCATTAGAGATGGCCCATAATATCTAGTTGTTTTGAATATCAGTAGGCTTTTTAGAGAGTAGAGCAGTTGTTTTATTTTTACAAGCGCGAAGTTTTGAAGAAAAAAAACAAAGTGTGGCATTGGGAGCTTTTTGCTTTGCAGCGCTAAACATACCCATAAGTTTTTCTTTGGTATAAGAGAAACACGAAAAAAGTGATGAAAAACGTGAAAAAAGGTGATACCATTTTTTTAACTGCTTTTTGCTAAAATATAGGGATGTACCGAAGCTGAAATTTTGCCGAAGCCGAAGCTTCGGCCGAAGCCACTTTGCCGAAGCCGAAGCTTCGGCCGAAGCCGAAGCTTCGGCACTATATATGCTTAAAATTTTAATCAGCATTCAGATCAGCAGGGGTGAAAAACAAAAAAGGTACCAAAACTAAGGTCCTTGACTAATAATATAGAAAAACCGTATTAAAATGAGGACGCCAGTCAGGGTTGCTGTTCCAGGCAGGGCAAAAGCTCTCAGCGCCCCTGTTTAAAAGTTTCTCATTATGTCGTTTCTGATACTTGACCGCATCGAGCGTTAGTTTTTTTTCTTAAGCTTTTTGAAACATTCTGCCCAAATTTTCCTACTTCTAGTTCTACTTTTTCTGTGTGCAAACCATATTAATGTTGTATAGCATCTTTTCATGTGCTGTATATTTTATTTTTATTTTTAATGCACCTTTTGTTAATAGAAGTTGATAAAAATCTCTGAACATTACTAGAGTAAATTTATCTTTTGCACTTGATCACTCTTTCTTTAAATAAAGACTCTTAGCTGATCTAGTTGTATCTACAACATTAAAAATCTTACATACACACTTTATCTTTTTATTGCTATTTATTTCAATATCTTTTTTTTACTTCTCTGTATTCTTTAAACGAACAATTTCTAAACTAAAAAAAACCCAAGTTAAGACCATTTTGGATTCCACTACAACTGTTGTGAACCTGCTGCTAAAAAAAAGTACAAATGATAGATTTCTCTCTAACTTTTTTTTTACACACTTTTAAGTATTTTTTTTTGATTATTTTTAACTTAACACGACATAACATTTTCTATAGCTTTTTTTAATCTTTTATACTTTGAAATCTTAGTATTCATTCTTCTTCTGTCTCTATAATGGATATATCTGCATCAGTATCTGAAATCAAATATTAACTATCTGTGATAAAAACTTCCAAAGTAATCTAACAACTCTGTAGAGTGAGCTTTAAATAAAATAATAAATAGAATACTTTATAAATTTTTTATTTATAATTATATTATTATTTACTTTATATTTATAAATAAACAGGGACTGAGCAGGCTGATATTTATTTGATTTAAATTGTTTATTTAATTTAAATAAATTTTGATGATAAATATAAGAGCTCAAAGTAATCAAAGCTTCAACCTTTAATTTATTTTAAATAAAATTTAAAAGTCTTCATAATATCATAAGAAGAAACCAGAATATTGGTTTACATGTTTAATATATAAATTCAATTTAGAAGTATTCATAATATTAATAAAAGAGCAAGGATAGTTATTATCATTGTTTTTCTTTTTCTTTTAATTTATCTAGTTTTTGTTGGCTTTTTTTTTTCTTTTTTTATTCTCCTCGTTTATATTTCATTTGCTTTTCTTCCTTTTTTGTTGTTGAGAACTTTTTGTTTTTTATGTGTCACTCCATTGACTATTTTGTATCTATATAAGTGACACCTAACCAATTTCTGTAAATTTACGATGAAAATTTGTAAATTTTTATTAATATGGTTAAATAAATTTTTAAAGAATTAAACATACACACAATTTAAAATAGTAGCAACGTATCTTTAATCTTCTTTAAAGAGAGATTACTAAGGTTTATCGGTCAAATGTTGAAACCAAATTTTGTTCTATTTGCGGTAATCCCACACAATAATTAATATGAGTTCGTTACATAATACAAATTGAGGTTTTAAAAACTTTTAATTTGTTTTAAACTATAAGGTTTTTATTCTGCATAGAAATGCTGCTTCAGTTCATCTAAAGTCACACTTGGAAGCTTTCAAAGTGTATGAGGACCTTCCCTAATTTTATTATTTTTTTCAAAATATTTTTACTTATTTATTATTATCCCCTCCATAACAAGACACTTGGGAGTAAATAATACTAAGTATATGGTATAGACTCCAACTTTAACTCTGTAGTCCTAAATTTATAACTTTATTAGACACTGGCAATTAGCTTATTTTTATAACTTGTCCCACAGTAGCTTATAACTTTAATTACTTAAAATTTTTTGCCGAAGCCAAAGATTCGGCAAAAAATTGACCTGGCTTCGGCCGAACCGAAGCTTCGGCAAAATTGCCGAAGCTTTGGCACGCCGAAGCCGAAGCTTCGGTACATCCCTACTAAAATACTCCTATCAAAACCATGATGACATTCCAAAATTACTTACAGATTACCATAGTTACTATCAGCTACAATAAATAATTGTCATTTTCTGTTTTAAAAATTATATTTTCCTATTAGGAATATGAAAGCACTACTGATGATTTTTTGAAAGGCCTTAAGTGATAAAAATAATAAATTTTTTTATAACTTATCTTATTGTATGGTGCAGTTTTTTGTAAATATTTTATTTGTAGATTAAAAGAAAAAGATAAAGGTACTTCATATATTGTTTATTTGGTTGACAATCAACTTTAACTTTTATTTATATTTATTATTAAAAAATTTCAAATTATATATATATATATATATATATATATATATATATATATATATATATATATATATATATATATATGTATGTATATTACTATTGTTTTTAAAGATATATTCCATAACCTTTAATATTGCACCCTTTCCTATTAATTTGAGACCTGAATGTGTACAAGAATGAAAACAATCATATAAAAGATTCACCTGTTTCAGATGTAAAGTCTTGGAACAAACTATATCTCAGACCTCCGCATAATGCCAAGCCAGAAAACAAAAATGTCTTTATTATTGCATAATAGTGAATTAAAATACCACATTTGTAAAAAAGAATGTGTAGTCTGTTTTCTCTGTAGCGTGGTAGCAGTCCTCTGGGCAGCTTGTGTTGGCCCGAAAAGACTACAAAACCCTTTGGATCACCATTAAATAACATAAAGTAAATTATTTTAAAAAGCATAAGAAGTATGTGAAGTAAAAAGCATTTATATGGTAATTCAAAAAATTTGTTTTAGACTGAATGCGAATAAAATCATTATTCACAAAACTAAATAGTACTAAAGTAAAAAAGTGAGATTAGGATTATACATGTACCTTTTGCATCCTTGTAGCGAAGTTTGTTCAGCTGTAAAACAATATTTACTGCAATGCAGTCTTTTCCAAAAAGTTTCCCTTTAGAGGTCTCCAATGCTTTGTGTGAAGACTTGCAAGAACTGGTCATTGTGTTCAAGGGGTGAAGGTGACAGTTTAGTTCATTTAATGATTTCTGCCAAGCAAGGTTTAACTTGTCAAGTTGTAACTGTCGCATGGTTTGTTGCAACTCTGTCACTCATTGTATTAGCTATGTTTCCAATAATAGTGCTTCGCACATCAGTGAATTGTAGTTGGTAAAAGTCACTATTTAACTAGGCAAGAATATAAACAGATTGCGTAATGTGACTCTGATAGTCGTAACCTGACCTCCAGGAAGTTGATCTATAGCTACAACCATGCATACTGATTCTGTTGTCAAGTGCACAACGTTTACATGAACACCCTCCAGTGTTGTTGCATCAAAACCAAGTGTCAGATTTTTTGTTGAGAATGCTATCTCGGCAGTCAGTAAGTCTGAAATTACACCAAGCTCATGGATCATTTGCTTCACAGTTGTGCGTTACGGTATGTGACTAAATCAATAGCCAGTGTGTTCTTCAATTTTATGGAGTAGAGGTGGCACACTATGTGTAGGAACTTGGCACACAAGCATGCTATAAATAAGTGCCCTAATATCTGCTGAGTAGCATTTTTCATTTTTAGTGTTTTGTGCTATTTGCTGCATTTGCTCCACTTTTTCCTGTAAAAGCAGTATGTCATTTTGCAGTACAAAAATTTCAGAATTTTTGTGAGCAAGTTGTTGACATAACATAGCCTTCTGATAAGATAACTTGCTTTCGGTAAATGTTAACTATTGTTTCAAAATAAAAATGTGATTTTGAAGTATCTTTAACTGTAAATTTAAATACTTTTCCTTTAATTTTTTTTTAAGATGAAGAATTGCCTTTTCTTTGCAAACAATAATCTGATTTAGATATTTAAATTGGTATGGCCGGGCCTTTGCTTTATCTCTTGATTCTTTTAGATCCTCTGTATACTTTCCAATTTCATTTGCCAAAAAGGTTAATATCTTTCTCAAAACTTTGTTCCTGGGACTCAACTGATCAGCTCTCAACCTGGATAGTTGTGGTTCATGAGAAGAGGTTATTAAAGCAGGATTAGATAAAGAAGGAGATGAGCAATCACTATTTGATACAGATAAAACACTTATGTTACTTAGGCTTGTGGTTGAATGCAATGATTGTGGCATAGCAGATATTGTTTTTAGGTATGCAAAAAGCATGTTGCAAAGATTAATAATTTGTTTAGAATCCCTTGAAAAATTACGGGCATAGAATTTGGATCTACTTACTAGTTGCACAATCTGACTTTTACATATTTTGAAGTTAAAAAGATTATTGCCTATTTCAACAGTTGTTTTAAATAATTCATTGTTGGATATGAAAATATTTAGTATATGTCCATTTCTACAGGCAATATTTAAATGAGCTGGCATTGTAAGGTTGCAAACTAAATAATTTTTGGTTTCACCATAAAATAGACGATTCTTTTTAGGTCCCATAATGTACTAACAAAATGTCAATAATTATTATATAACTATTTTATTTAATTAGCTTTTAATTATTATTACCAACTAATAATCTTTAAAAAAAAAGCTATATTATATGCAACAGAAAAAAAATCACTTGAACTTTTATAATTAGCTTAGTTTTTTTTGTGTGTAAATCATGTATTTGTATGTGTAAATCATGTTTTCATGTATGTAATCATGTTTTTGTGTGTGTTAATCATGTTTTGTGTGTGTAAATCATGTTTTGAATACTTTAAAAAAATCACCGATTTTATTAATAAAAGTTTTATTTTTTAAAAAATTTTTTAAAAAAAATAATTTTTAAAAGAATAAAAATTCAAATATACAAAATGCTCATTATCATGAAAACCTCCCCCTCCCCAAAGCCTCCACAACAGTAGAATATTTGGTACTTTTACTGCGTGCAAAAATAGGGTAAGAGCGTTCCATTTTTTTAAATAGAATTTGGCAGGTACATAGAAAGTAGATATAGAAAATTGACTGAAAAGTTAGAAAAAAATCCATCATACCTACAATGTCAATTCACATCCAGAACCGGAAGGAAGTTTTCAATAACAACGAAATCACTAAAAATGCTTGTAACTGCAAAAAAAAAAAACAAATTATAATAAACTTAAAACACTCTACTTTTAAAATAAATTCTATGTTGATATAAAATTCCAAGAAAAAAAACGACAAAATTTATCCTTGCAAAACCTACTTTGAGCACACAGTGAAAAAAAGGTCACAGATTTTATCTTTCAAAACGGTGCTGTAAATCGCTGATAGGCACATACCTAGTTATAGGGCAACGAAACGGTTGACAGAAGACTTAAAAAGTTGAAGGTTGTATGAGTCAGGAAAACATGAAAATGGAAGAGAGTTCCAAAGGATTGAAGGGGAAAAAAACTAGATGAATAAAAGTTTTTAGAGCATGCAGGGACAGATACAATAAACATATGAGACTTACCTGAATGACGAGTCAAGCAAGAATGAGTTTTAGTTGATGGAACTAGGAATGATAACTCCTTTGAGCAGTGACCATGATAGTATTTGTAGAAAATAGGAGATGCAACTTTACGATGATGGGAAAGAGGCGCAAGCATAGCAGACCTTAGATCAGGTTTAACTACGTTTACAATGCATTTTTAAACCTTGTCTAGAAGAGAAAAAGCATTATTAGAAGAACCAGCCCAAATATGACAAAAGTATTCCAAACAGGGACGAATAAGAGATTTGTAGAGGTAGAGAATAGAATCAGGAATAAGAAAATGGCAAGCACAATAAAGAAAAGCAACCTTTGCAGATCGAATTTAGCAATCGATTGTATATATGGTTTCTATGAAAGGTCAGTAGTAAATTATAATCCAAGAAATTGTAGAGGAGGACCATTACTCAGTAAGAGGATTGCCATTCATTAATAAAGGAATGGTGACCATATTGTAATAGTTGTTTGCAGCAAAAAACTGAGTCTTGTTAGAGTTATAATTCACAAGCCAGTTTGAGGCCCAATCTTTTATTATCTAGAAATAGGTCCCAGTTTGATGAACTGGTTTTCAGCCATTCCATCTCATGTAATAACAATTTTAAGAAATCAAAGAAAAACAAGTTTTCAGGTCCAAAAAATCTTTAATTATTAAATAACTTTAAGGCTTTGCTGTTTAAGCTAATTCAAGAGCTAATTTATGTAATTAATTTACAAACAGGCTTTCGCATAAGAGGGTTGCAGCCACACCCCTTATATGACCATGCATATAATACTTTAATTTGACAACTTGGCCATGGCTCTTTGCAAGTTTTGATAATTAGCGCTTTTAAAAAATACACTAAAAAAAACAAAGCAAACAAATTAAAATAAACTAACAAGAGAAAAAAATCTAAAAAAAAAATTAAAAATTAAATTAAAAAAATAATCTTAAAGAATGACAAAATAGAAGAAAAACCAGAAAAAATTAAAACATTTGTTATTTAATGTAAACTTAATTGTAAGTGAAAGTTAAAAAGAAGTTTATCACAACTCTATCAATCTTAATCATTTCCTCCCATGAATAAATAAGCTAATACAAGTGAGGATTCAGAGTGAGGGGGACGGCTATGAGGGTATTTGTCCCTCCACCCCAGATTTTTATTAATTTTTTTTGAAATCAATTTTTAACACAAAACGATGTTTAAATACGTATGTAAATTAGGCTGTTTAAAAGTGCCATGAAATTTAATAAAATTTTGTGGTGGAAATTTTAAATTTTATAAAAAATAATTAGGATAGTTAAAAAATGGTTCACAGATGCGATTTTTTCAAGACTTTTGTAATTATTTTGTTTTCTTATTCTTAGGATGCTTTTTTCATTAACGATATTTAATGCAAGCCAAGGAACAAAACAGATGTTTCTGAAATTTTAAAAAATGTATTTGAAAAATATATTTATGTATTTGCAATGTAAAAATTTTTATTAGTTTTTATCTTTTTACAATAAATCCATTTGTAATGATTTTTTATTAGCTTTGTACTCATTTGTTATCTGTCGCTGTTAACTCTAATCTGATTATTTTTTTTCAATGATCGCCTTTTAATACATTGCAATAATATACTCGAGAAATTTTGCAGCAGTTTAATTGTAATTATGAAGTCAATTAAATTAAAAATCACATCATTTGTTTTAAAAAAGGTATTAACACAATTGGAGGCTTTCATGAAATTCTTTCGTGAAGTTTGTCTAATTTTCAATGTAATATGGAATATTATAGAAAACGAAAAATTGCATAAAAATTTCATTAGCATTAAAGCTTTTTATTACTTTAAAAATTTGTAAATTACAAATATATAAATAGTTAAAAAAAATTGAAGAAAATGAATACCCATCAATGCTTCACGAACTGTTGCGTCATCAAGGGACTATCCTCATAGGCAGCGCCGTACTATCGCAAGTGCAATAAGTGCAATCGCACTGGGCCCCCTATTAAATACATTAGAAAAACTTCTCCAATACCATAAATTACTATGAATTGAAAGAAAAAAATTTTTTTTTTTAGTTTCTGCACAGGGCCCAAAAGTGCGGCGCTGCTCATAGGATCCTAAGGCAACGATTTTTGAAAAATGGCTTCAATCAGTATTTTAAATTTTTAAGCGATTTTTTTGGCTTTTGTTGTTTTTTACAGAGTTTTTTTTTTTTACAGTTGATAAGAATTTTTTACAAATAAGGACCATCCCTCCCTGGGAAATAGGGGAGAGTTTTTTAATTTAAGTCTTTATTTTGGGTTTTACTATTTTATTTTTTATTTTTTGCTTAAGAAGGTATTTTCATTGGTATTTTTTACAGGTGCAAAAAACTTTCCATGCCTGCATTTTTTACAGGTACAAAAAACCTTTTTACACCGGTTTTTTTATCAGGTACCAAAAACTTCTCATCTAAAGCAAATGCAATTATTCTTCTTCAGATGGTCCAACAGTAGAAAGTGCAGTAATATGCCCTGCAACATTTAAATCTTGAAAAGGGCTTGAGTTGTGATTATCAACAAGGTTTGAAAAGCATCTATCCAAATGTGACTATTATGCAATGCAAAAAGTTTTCTGATCTGATGGCAAAAGATAACGTGGTATTGATCTCATTGTCCAAGCTGTGCGTGTGTGCCTGGTTGGTCATTGCAAAGTTGCAAAATCCTAGCTCGTTCTGCTAGATCGTTAACTCTCTTACTCATGTGAAGACATATCCTTTGTGGGACTTTGAAGAGACTTGCAAAGTCTTGTTCGTACCAAGTATCACTATTATCAGATAAATTCTGTGAAACTAATTCTAGCTAGCCTGGGTCTCCAGCCATTGTGAAGCTTGTCTTATTAGAATTTTCTGAAATGTATTTGTTGATCTAGCCAATTTGGTGGACAGAGTATAAATAAGCTTCTTTGAAATATACTTGGGTTATATTTTCAAGGTTATAAGCTTTTTTATAGCTATATGGTCTGAATTGAATTCAGATATTATATCATTAATACTATTTCTAAATTTAACACATTGCGTTGGCATGAGAGCATCTTCCTTCCTCTAATCGCCTTTTACAGTAGCATCTTCATTCAAGATTAATAATCTTTTGCATTTGTGATTGGAATGGGTTATAATGAGAGTGGAGTTTCATCGAAAGATGTTGGTTTTAATTCTGATAAAGCATTTTCTGTCATTTTTAAAGCACATACTACATCCCAACCTGAAAACCCTTCAAACTTAAAACTAAGGCTGCACAATCTTTATGCTCAGCAAGAACGTAGACAGTCTAGAATAAGACAACCAACAGTCGTAGAGTCTAGAATAAGACAACCAACAGGCAACTTCCTTGTTCAGCGCTCAAAATAATTATTTGAAGGTTGCCGATCAACATTGATCGGCAAAAATGATAAAAGTTGAAAAGTAGACGATCAAATAACTTTCCAGACAATCAAAACTTTTTTTTAATTAACGTTTTTATTGTGCACAAAAGATGGTTACCGTCTTAAAACTGTTAAATTTAACAATCATAAACATTTTTAAATTTTAATGCTAATTTAATAACTTTAAGATTTTTTTTACAGTTAAAATTATTTTTCGTAAAAGTTTGGTTGAAAGAGTTGTCGATCGAATTTGATTGGGCAAATTTATTTTTGGAGTTCAAAGTATAAATTGTTCTAAAAGTCGATGATCATTGATCATTAATTGGCCGTTATTTCGAGTGCTGTTGTTGGAAGTAAAGATGTTTTTAAAACATCTTTACTTCCAACAAGGCTGCAAGCAACCACTATTAGAGTTGGAAATTACTAGAAGAGAAAAGATGAAGATTATAAAGCAAGATAACGAATAACAGACAACTTTAAAAATTGCAAGTTATATAAATTAGGGAAAAAAGATGAAGGGAGGAAAGTCTAAAGAACTGATGTTAGAGAAAAAAAAACTTAGGTGAATAAGAATTTATAGAGCACTTAGGAACAGTCACAGTAAAAAGATGAGACTTAATTGAGTGATGAATAACATAAGAATGAATTTTAGTAGATAGCACAAGAGACGCTAGCTCCTTAGAACAGCGCCCATTATAGTATTTATAAAAAAGAGAAAGAGAAACAACATTATGACAATGTGATATGGTTGAAGGTTGGCTTCAAGAACAGGTCCAACTATGTTTACAATGCGTTTATGCACCTTATCTTAAAGAGAAAGGGCATCATTCAAAGATCCGCTCCAGATATGGCAACAGTATTCCATACAAGGACAGATTAAAGATTTATAGAAATAAAGAATAGAACCAGAAGTAAGAAAGTGATGAGCAGAATAAAGAGATGCAACCTTATCAGATGCTAATTTTGCAATTGAATTGATTTATGGTTTACAAGAAAAATTGGAAGTAAGAGTTAAGCCTAGTAGACGAAGGGTAGATGAACCATCAAGTACATTACCATTCATAAATATAGGAAGATCTAGATTGTTACATTAAATATTAGCAGAAAAAAATTGAGTTTTATGTGAACTAAAAATCACCAGCCATTGAGAGCGCCATGCAGTAACAGAAGTCAGATCCATTTCAAGCTCAAATGCCCACTCTAAGTGATCAGAGAGTGTTGGCTTCTTATCAAGTCAAGAATAAAT